TTTCACATACACGAGCGGCACTGGCTTGCTCACAATTTTAAACAGATTTCATTTTGCCTCCTGCTGACTTTCAGATAAAGAAGTGAATGATGCCTATGTACAAGTGGTTGCGTTTTCAAAAGCCTTAATTATTGGACTGAGTAAAACTTACACAGCACACTTGGCTGGATTATGTTTGCAGGGTCGCTCGGCTAAATTATCAGCAATGAGTGCCGGTGATTTGGGCATTTTCTGGCCCGAGCCACTGGCCATCCAATCTTCTGTGCCCCAGTTGGCCAAATAATAGCGTTTCGCCTTGTCGCACGAAAACGTGTCTGAATCACCAGTGAACGTCGCTGTGTAAGCTGCAAAGCAAAAACATTTACGCCGACCAATAGTGCGCGAAAATTTAGACTCATCTTGCAGAATGAACATTTTGGGGGAAGTGAGTATTTCACACGATGGATCAATTAGAGGAAAATTTTGTTGAAATATATGCAATGACACATTTATCGGGTAGGGCAGCCGCTGCAGTTTATTGCAAAAACGTGCAGCCACCTGCGCTTCCACGGCATAACAGTATTGGATGCCTTTTGTGTCTCCGCATTTGATTGGGTATTCTATCAAATTTTGTGCTGTCCTTCCTACATATGTAGCATTTTGTGGATTATTTTGTTTCACCTTTATTCTAATCGAAATTTTTCGTTTACTCAATTTCTTTCTCGCTTAAAATCATATTCTGCAAACTGTTTTGTAAAAATAGCTTTGCGGAATGTAGCATCATCATCCTACCAGTGTGTTTGAGTTCCCACGACTTACTCCATTACGGCGCTTTAAAAGTACTATTCACACTATGCCAGAAGCTTTCGCAATTGAATTTACTAGGAGAAATTTGTCGAGTTTTATTGTAACGAAGAATGTTACAGTGCTTATGCCCATTAGTGATCAATCGTCCGGAGGAGCACCGTAGGAGTTCAGAAATCTGTGAGTTTTCAAGCTACATAGCTGCCTCCTGATGGCTGAGGGTATCTTTGCTTCCCGGCATTATTGAAAATTCTCATATAATCATTCACACACGGGACACACTGGTCTTAGTGGCAGTTTTTATGAAACGAAATTGTTATCAGTTCAGATAAAGGGCCGCATAAATCGCAGTAAAAATGCTACATATCTAGCATTTTTTTTAGAAATTTGCTGGGAACAGGGAGACGAACACCACAGTTTAATCACATTAAACAAGAAGGAGCCGCTAACTCTGTGAATAATGCGTGTAGATAAATGGCAGCTTATCAAAGCAGGAAAAACACAAACCTGCAACATGAGGATGCAGTAATGAAGTAAGCAACTGCATGATAGTAAAATCTTGTAACAGTGCCAAAAACCGACTCCATACCCACAACAACAATTTAAATATTGCTCTAGCCTGAAAGTTGTCATTTTCGATCAAATTATGTCACCAGAAATGACCAGTGCGCAATTTAGTTAATATTGGATTTTCATACTTTCGTTGAAAGTAACAAAATTTTTTGCTTACTCTAGCTGCTGCAGCACCAGCTGTGTACATAACCATTTCACTTTGTTTACAGACCGCTTGATAATCGACGTATGTTGTTCTAAAATGTAACACAAAGCTGTTAAAAAATAAGCGGCATTTCCGAAAAATTCAAGAACTTTTATAAATAGAGCAAAAAGACAAGAATTATTACTCGGTATAAAAATTATTCTTCAGCAGCAGTGTCATCGTTCTTTCGGTTATTCGATTCACTGTACCGAACCAGTGTCCCAACAGATTGAAATTCTTCGGTCTTTCTGGCTGATATCCAGAAAATGAGCTGCTACTGGTTACTGTAGTATTAAGACTGCTGTAGACAATGTATGCGTGTTCGTCCAGCAACAAACACCACCGTTGCTCGTCCTAAAACTATTTGAATTTATTGTGAATATTCTTGCAAAATTTTTGTAGAGAACAACTTATAATTTTTATTTTCAACAAATGCCCCATTTATCTAAGTTGTTTGCAAAAAAAAAA